GTAGTTTTTGGTGATGGTTTTGGAAATGACAATGTTACTACTGATTATCATGGTGTTTGTGTGGTGGCGAGGTTGTTCATGGTGGTTGACGTGGAGGCGGTGGTAGTAGTCATGGTGATAGTGCAGAGATGGTGGTGGTGGATTTGGTCATTTTTGTTTTCTGTGACTAAAAATATAATCTGTGACCTTAAAATTCGATAACCTGTGACTAAAAATATAATCTGTGACCAATTATTTCGTTATCTGTTATTTAAAAATTAGATAATCTATGACCGTGAAATCTGTGTTCGTGTGACCTTATGTGACTAAAAATATAATCTATGATCTTAAAATTCGCTAATCTGTGACTAAAAATATAATCAGTGACCAACCATTTTGTTATCTATGACCTAAAAATTATATAATCCGTGACCGTGAAAAAATCTGTGACCAACTAATTTGGAAGTCTGTGACCGTGCGACCTATAAAAATGTTGTGACAAAAAATCAATATTAACAGGTCACATGTGTTTGTAGAGTCACGGTTCAAAAATAAAGGTCACATTACCGAAATAATCTTCGAAACGGTCATCGGAATAGTCGCTGGAATCGGAGTAGTCGTCGGAACGGTAGAGGTGATGGAGGTGGGTGGGTTAACTATATTATATATATGTGTGTGTATGTATATGTCAAATATTTGATTTTAGATATTTGAAAATTGTTTTCTTATTTTTAAAATAGTATATAATAAAAATAGGAGGAATGAATTTTTCCCTTATTAAAATGTTTTGTGATAGGTGTGCTAAGATTAGAAAGCTCCGGATCTGACGGTACGGTTTTTATAGCTTTGAGACTTCTACTACAGTTTTTTCTTTTCTTTGTGGATCTTGCTCTCCCAACTAGAAAAAATCAAAAATCTCCTCCATTTTCTTCCTTGACTCGTTCGCTCTTGTTAGCCTCAGGGGGATGAGGAGTACTTCTCACCCATCAATCAAGAACTCTTCGAAGAACTAAGAAGATATACAATCCATCGATAGACTTGCTGACCAACAAATGTCTGAGGCCAATATTAACTAATCTTTACACTTTTTGAAACTCTAGTTATCTCTCACTTATTGGTCCAAATGAATCCAATCAATTAGATCCTTGGAAACTCGATCACTTGGATGTGGGATCCAATATCAAATTGTTAGAGAAAATAAGAGATTATAGCTACAATATAAAGTAACTGATAACATGAACAAAATAATTTGTAGAGAATAGATATTTTATTATAATATGGAGAAATAATACAAAAATTTTGTATTTATAATTTGTCTAATTTAATCTAAAATACAACGAAGAGCTATATATATAGCTCTTCGTTGTATTTTAGATTAAATTAGACAA